GCGGGCATGTTCTAGCATGCTGTGGGCCAGTGTTCCACGGCCGACTCTTGATGGTTCTGGGCCACCTGCAGCTCCCGGGCCGCCCGTCACTCCACAGCTGCCTTCATCCCCCGCTAAGCATCCTTCTCAAGGAGCCAACGCAGGCCAGAGCCAGAAGGTCAGCTTTAAAGCGAACACACACCCACTGAGGATTCTCCTTGTAGGGGCCGACACCCTGGTAGTCCACGACAGGCCCCCTGAACGACAGAACTTAAAAAGTGGCCAAGCCGGGTATCCTAGAGGAAAGGGCAGTTCAGATAGAGAAGGGAGCACCAAATAAAGGATGTTTGGAGGATCCTCCCAGGAGGGGAGATGCACGTCGAAAGTAGACTATGGACTGAACATGTTTGCCACTCAATGCCTCTTTTGCAGACCACAACACCCAAAAGGAGAGAGAGAACACAGGGGATTGCCCTGCCACAGAGACAGGGGGGATGGGGGGATGGGGGTGGGAGGGATATTATCCATGGTGGTGGAAAATGGGCACTGGTGGAGGGATGGGTATCTGATCATTGTATAATTGAAACCAAAGCACAAAAAATTGTAAATCTACAACTGTAAAAAAATAAATAAATAAAAATAAAAAAAAGTGGCCGTGAGTACACGTGAGAAGGACTAAAAAGCATCAGGCAGGCACCAGGCAGCCATGCATGCCTAGCCCAGGCCAACGGAGACGCCCGGAGTCTCAAGGGGCCAGAGAGTCTTGAAAGGAAACTGTGAGTTCAGAGAGCCTCAAGGGAGGCGTAGGTAGGCCAGGTCTTGCCAGGAACAGAAGGCACCAGGCCCCCAGGGACCGTGCAGGAGGACAGGGCATAGCCACAAGGCTCAGCGAAGATCAGGGAGGCTCATAGCAGGTCCCAGGGGTATGGGGAGAGGGGATGGGTGAGAAGGGGGCCCGGTGACACTCTTGGCACTGAGAAGGTAGGCGAGCCAGGGTTGAGGTGGAGCTATCATAAAACAGCACATGACAGAGGCACTTGTTCAAAAGTGGACTTGGTAAGAGAGATGGTGAGGGCTGGAGCGGTAGCACAGCGGGTAGGGCGTTTGCCTTGCATGCGGCCGACCCGGGTTCAATCCCCGGCATCCCATACAGTCCCCCAAGCACTGCCAGGAGTAATTCCTGAGTGCAAAGCCAGAGTAACCCCTAAGCATTTCTGGGTGTGACCCAAAAAGCAAAATAAAAAAGAGATGGTGAATTGGACGCAGAGTTTGAGTGAAAGTAGCCATAGAGTATTGAGGGCAGACAACGTGGCAAGGTCGTGTCACATGGTCACCCACTGTGTCATTCTGATGAGCACAGTAAAGGGACCCTTGGGGAAGGGTCATGGTGACCTCTGGATGAAGGGGGAGATGGGTTAGAGGAGAGTGGGAGTGGGAACCGTCGACAGCTTAACAGAGAAGCAGTGAAGAAGGGTGGAGCAGTAGGAAGCAGCTGATGACCAAAAATAAAATGCATCAAATAAAAGTCCGCTGTATTATTCAGAGGAAACCAGTGCACAGAGGGGGCGGCAAAGTTCTTGATTTTAAATACAATGTGAGAGAATTTCCCAAGGCAAAACTCATCAACTGAAATCGTATTACAATAACAAAAATAGGAACCCTGTCAAGATTCAGGCAGAAAAGATACTTACACACAGAAGGAAAGAAAGTCATTCTGCAGCAAATAGAGAAATGACTATAGAACATGGAGCAATTTGTTTTCATCCTATAAATAAAGTAGCAAGTTGTTGTTCTCTTGCTAATACACAGGTCCGCAGTTATAATATAAATGCCTGATAATTAACCAGGGTTAAGCACTCACCAAAAGAGATCCTCTGGTAGGGAAGGAGGGAGACTGAGACATAAAGGTGTTTTTCAGTCTCTCATTCATTCACTCAGTCTTTCTTTTTCCATTCTTTTTCCTTTTTAGGTCACTTTGGGCAGTGCTCAGGGCTTACTCCTGGTTCTGTGCTCCCGGATCAAATGTGGAGCCAGGCATAGAAGTAGGGTTGGCCAAGTGCAAGGCAAGCGCCTCCACTCTTGGGCCATTTCTCCAACCCCTCACTCAGTCTTCCATTTAGTTCTCCTCTCCTTACAGCTCACTCTTGTCCTTTTCTGTCATTCAATCACTTCATTTCCCTTTCAAAAATGTTGGGATAAGAATGTTCTGTGCGCTCAGGAGTTGTTTGAAGTCATCTTATAAAATGGAAAAAAGAAAAAAATGCAAGGACAGAGAAAACATAATGGGGAAACCAGGAATGGCAAACGAACATGCCAGACGAAGACAATCTGGAGTCCCAGCCACAGGGATAAGGCCGTGAGGAGCGATGGATGCTTCACCAGTCGACCCGAATACCAAAGCTCTCGTGCCTCAGGGCATCGCCTGAAGGCAGGTCATTCCAGAGTCCAGGCTGCTTGATTTCAGTTCCAGTCCCTGCACTGACCTTAGGCAACTCTGTGCCTCAGTTTTCCACACATGTGCTGAGGGGCGGGTCCCTCCTCAAAGTGCTCAGGCCACCATCTAGTGCTGGCGATCAAACCTGAGCCTTTAGCATGCAAAACCTGCACCCATTCAGCCCCTGAGCTATCACGCTGGCCCTTAACTGGCTTCAAGTACAGAAAAACTCTAGAAAAACAGTGTTAAAGATATATCCTGTCCACTTCATGAGTAATGTAAATTGCATTACATACAAGAAATATGAAATAAAACTAACATTGATATCAACTGTCCTCTTGGTATTTTTTACTTCATTTAAACACCAAGGTTTACAGGGTCATTAAGGATACAATTGTTATGGGCATTTAATGTTCCAACACCAAAGATCTTCCTTCCACCATGTTCCCATTTTCCCAACCACCCTCAATGCCCACTTAGCAGGCACAAAATAACTCACTTTATATTTCTTGTTACAACTAAAGGACTAATAAAATTATTGAAAAATACTGCAGTTAAAGAAAATTTGTGGAAACCATTATATCTCTGCACGGGAGGTCATTAGATCCTTATCTGAGGGTTTACTGAGGTGTTTGTTGTTGCTGGTTGAGCCTTGTGTGCTCTTGTTTTTGTTAAGGAGCTTAGTTGGCTTCTCCAGTACTTTCCCATCTAATTCCGTGTGCTGCTACTGGGATGTCAGGATTGTGGAATTTGTAGGTGCTGTGTGGCCGCACACTTTAGAAGCAATACCCGCTGTAGAACTGAGCTGCTGAGTTTTCATGAAGGCAACTGTGGGTGTGGGTTTGGCTTCTGGGGCTTTGGGCAGTACAGGAGGGTTAAGGGAGGTTGCCCTTCCCCTTTGGGGAAGAAGACCCGAGTTCTCGGCCTGGGAACCAGAGTATGTGAAATTTGTGCTGTTTGGCGTCTCTGCAGAGATGGGTTGAGGAGCCGAGGTGTCGGGCCGCTGGCCCGGCGACAGCTGTGGGTGTCTCAGACTTGCTCAGGGCACAGCTCAGCCGGCCCCTTCCCCAGAGCACCTGGAGTTTCAGCCGAAAACTGGCAAGCCCATAAATTTGAACACCTGGCCTACATCTTTCCCGAGATTGAGGGATGACTCCGTGAAGTGGGGCCAGGGGATGTGTGAAGGCCTCCTTGGGGCGTGGGCATGGCCGCCGGAGTGGGTGGGGGCAATCGGGAGTCTTTTCATTTCATTTATTTCTGTTGCTGATGTTTGGGGCCACGCCCGGATGTGCTCAGGGATCACTCCTGGTGGGCCCAGGGAGCCTGATGGGGAGAGAACGCCAGTGGGCGTTGTGCAAGGCCAGCCCCCTAGGAGCCTCTAGAAGCATCTGGATGGCTGATTCCTGATGAGTTACTCCTGTGCCCAACTGGATGTTTGTGAGCTGACCAGGGATACGCCCCTGCTCGTCTCTGTGGGTCACTGACACTTCTGACTCCTAGCAAACATGCAGCAAGGGTGGGCAGTGTGCGGTGACTTGCACCTGGGGACACTCAGATCTGCGCCTGGGACTCGCCTCAAAGTCAGCCGGCTGCTGAGCAGCCAGTGTCCCTCCACAACTGACATGGTCAGGCCATGGTCACTGAGCAGTGGCCCGTGGGTAGCTCTCGGTCAGCACTGCGTTCCCCGCACCTGCTGCGTCCTGAGCAGAGACATCTGACGGGGCCGGGCCGTGGGCAGCGTGTGGTCTCTTCCCAGAAGCCACAGGTAAGGCTCCTTTACCTGAGAGGCCAGCAGCCCTTCCTGTCTGCCCCATCCGCGTCCCGGAGGTGCCTCCCTTCTCCTGTCACTGGGGCTCCCGGCTTCACCCAGAGCTCATGCTGCCCTACCCAGGGTCGCCAGCCACGCCCCACAAGCTCCTGCCACCGAGCCGGTCAGGGATATTCCCACACAATCTCTTTCCAGTTTTTTTATTTTTAATATTTCATTTTTACATGTGCGTGGGTCTCAGCCGGAGCTGCCACGCGGTTCCGGAAAGCGTCCTGGAGTGTGGCAACGGCTGGGTAGTGGGAGTAGTGTCGATGTGCTTTTGTTTAGTTTTGGTTGGGGGTGGCACCCCGGGCTTGGTCAGGGATCACTCCAGGGGTGCTCAGGGAACTGTACATGATGCCTGGATTGAATCGCAGTCACCCTCAAACAAGGCAACCTTTCTCTCCCTTGTCTGTGTTTTTGGAAGGTATTTTTTCAGCATTGGTGGTATATATTTCTTAAATCTTTCTTAATGTTGTATTTATGCCAACAAACTACTACAACCAAACTTCCCCTGGTATAGATTATAAAATGGATATTAATCTATTCCCCGGATAGAGATTGTGGTCTAACCTGCTGAGACTTTAAGGACAATGGTTCGTGGCCTCCAATCTTTTTGATAAAATACACTGCACGCCTTCAGGTACTTGGATGGATGAGTTTGCAGAATCTTCCGGCAGCTCTGGAGAGCTTGCACCTCAGACGTTGGCAGCAGCTGCCCCCCACGCCCCCACCGCTGCCCAGAATGCAGCTTCCCCTGACGCCCTCTCTCTCGTGCAGGTGGAGATCGAGAAACTGGACTACCACCACTACCTGCCTCTGTTCTTCGACGGGCTCTGTGAAATGACGTTCCCCTACGAGTTCTTTGCTCGACAAGGCATCCATGACATGCTGGAGCACGGGGGGAACAAGATCCTGCCCGTCATCCCGCAGCTCATCATCCCCATCAAAAGTAAGTGCTCGGGCAGGAGCGCGTCAGAACGCTCACTCAGTCCGCCACAGAGCCCACTCGGGAAGCTGGGAATGGACTTATGGGGTCAGACATCCCAAATCCCCAAATCCATCCCATCCTCCATGGCCCCCGGACTCAGCCATGCAACTCAGAGGCGGGGGCCTACTAACTGCGGTGCCACACCCCAGCACTGTCACCCCCAGCCTGTCACACCCCCAGCCCTGCCCCGTCTCCCGCCTCGCAGTGCCCGGCACTGCAGCAAGAAGGATTCGGTGCTGTTTAGGTTCCTGCGTCCCTGCAGAGCCCACAGGCCAGGGAATCGCTGCAGTTCTGCTCAGTGTGTGTCTGAAGCTGCTGAAGTGAGTCGGGAGAGATGACGTATGGGAAGGGGCCGTGTGTGCTTGGCTCTCTGTGGAGGGCACTGTGATGGGATGTTATGAGGGGCTGGGCGCAGACACCGTGTCCAGAAAACAGGCTCTTTCCCAGTCAGACACCCGCCATTCCAGAAGCCGCAAAACTTATTCCGGGAGTCCCTTTCACTCGGACCCTGACTCCTGCGGCCAGGGGCTGCCCAGGCCCAGGGCCAGTCTGCCTGCGAACCCACCGGACCCGACGGCCATGCTGGCCTCAGGACAGGCTGCACGCTGACTAGCTGAGAGCTGACCTGGCACCCGCCAGGAAGGAGGGTCTGGCTGTGTCCTGCTGGTCTTTCAGGTGGGTCTCGGGAGGCGGCCAGTGGTCCAGAATCAGGCAGGTGTCCCTAACTGGCATACATGCGACAGCTGTACGTGCCTCCTCCCAGCCCGACTGTGAGCATGGTTTTGACTCTCTCTCCAGGGGCAAAACTCAGCCTCACCATCACCAGCTCATAGCTGCCTGAAATCCTCACAAACTCCAAGGCTCCCTGGGAGGGGTCAGTGGGGGCTTGGGGGTTGCTGCAGCTCCGTTTCTAGAAGCTAGAATGTGTCCAGCATCCACACAAGGACTGAAATCCCCCAACCAGGGGGTCTGAAATCCCCCAACCGGGGGTGCGGGGAGGGTCTGAATCACTTCCCTTCCCTTTCTCCCCTCCTCCACCCAGGGTCCCGACTCCAAATCCCTCCTCGCGGGCACCCTCTGACTCACGCACTTCCACTCCCCGACTTCCACCTTCTGGAAAGAGGGGTCAGCAGCTCTGGGGCAGCCGCGGCCAGGGCTGACCAGGGAGCACTGGTTGCCACGAGCCTCGGGGTCACCTTGCAGGTGGGGAATGCCATCACTCTGAGGCATGCACTGAGGTTTTTCTTCATGCCACCAGTCAGGGAAGAGCCCAGGCCCATGGCAACCCACGGTTGCGGAAATTCCCCCAAACGTCTACCAAACAACCCAAGCAGCAGCCTTGAGAAGTGGGAAACCACTGTCATATTCACTGCCCCACTGGGCTCATGTTCTGGAACTGGGCCCAGAGCGAAGCAAGAGCTCCATGGTGTAGCGTTATCAGCGGGTCTGGGCACTCAGAGCACAGAAGCAAAACCCCCAAGCGTTTGAGTCTGCATAGCAGAATCTGGAGCACGTCAAGGACACGAGCACACCTGGAGTACCCTCCAGGTCACCAAGGTTACAAAGCAGGGCCACTTCAAGGCCATCGGAAATGCACTCCGCGGTCACGGCAGGTCGCCCGGACTCAGCCGCCCCTGGCCAGCCCCTGCTCTCTGGCCAGCTTGAAATATGGGAAGACCCTGTTTTCCTCATCACGGCGGCCTCAAGCCAAGAGGCACCCTAGGAGCTTTGCCTGGTGCCTCAGGTGGGGGTCGTTGAGTGGCCAGATGGCAGAGAGGCCCTGAGACATCCCCTCAGGGATAGTCAGAGCAATCACCACGCCCTTCCAGACAACAAGACAGGAGCACGTTGGCCCCGTACGCCCACACTGAGCGCGGGATCTGGAGGCCACACGGAGACACGGGCACGGAGGCCGTGGCCTCTGGGGCGGGAGCAAGTCAGGCTCCAGGGAAGGTTGGCGGGTGTGGGAGAAGTTGCAGAAGGTGCCTGCATGGAAGATGCTGCCCGGGATAGAGGTGGAGGCTGTAGCCCTACAACCAGTCTAACTCCAGACCAGAGCATTTGTGATCGGAAAAGACAAGCAGAGGAACAGGTGGGAAGAGCTTACCTGGAGACGAGGACCGATGGGGCCGAGAGCGGGAGGTAGGTGCCCGCGAGGAAACAGCCTGGCGATGCCTCTGGGGGCAGCCAAGACCCCATGTGTCTGAGGAAGGCAGGGAAGAGAAGCTGAGTCGAGATGGGTCTGCATGGGGTTTAATTTAGGAGAGGAAGAAAAACTTTCCACCATCTGCACAGAGGGGAGATAAGAGCCCACAAAAGCTGACAGGGTTACTAAGATTTTTTGCAACAGAAAATGCCCGTCACAATGGGAGGTTTTAGACAACGGGAGGAGAGAAGCCATTTGTGGACTTCCAGGAGATCAGCCGTGGAGGGTGGAGGTGTCTGGTGACTCCGTGAGGGGCACCCACCTGCTCCTCCTCCAGAAGCCCCTGAGATACGCAGCTGAGCAAGGCCAAGAACCCCGGATGGGCTACTCTGGTTTGGCGAGCACCCTTCAGAGCCACTGCACTAGAGTTTGAGTCTATGGTTTGGATCGTCGGTGAAAAGGAGTTTTCACAGCTGTAGGAAATGTCAAATAATGCTTTTTTTTAGTAATGCCTGGGGAAATCCGTGAGCATCATGGGCAGTCCCTCGAAAGGGACGAAGCCCCTGAGAGCAGACACAGAGGCAGAGGTGTCCTTCTGCAGTGACCACTGCCAACCGAATCAGTGAGGATGCCCAACTGTTAGGACAGAGCTACGCTTCATTTTTACAAAATAAAAGCTATCTGCGGACAGGTATAAGAGATGGTAAGAAGTATTTTGATTCCAGAAAAGTCGAATTTAATGTAAAAATGTCCCTTTAAAGAATCATTGCTGGGAGCTGGAGAGATAGGACAGGGGGCAAGGCACTTGCCTTGTATGCACTGACCTGAGTTCGATTCCCAGCACCCCATAAGGTCCACCAGGCACTGCCAGGAGTGACGCCTTAGTACAGAGCCAGGAGTAAGCCCTAAGCATCGCCGGTTGTGACCCCAAAACAAAAATAAACAAAAACCAAAAAAAAATCATGAACTGCTTTGAATGTCGCTAAAAGCTTTGTTCAAAACACTTTTTAATTCTTCTTGAGAAACTTTTTTTTCTCTTATGCCCCTTAAAGAAGCAGCTTCTTTGATATATTTTTCATAAACACACAATGTTTAAAGGATTGAGTGTATGTTTTTGTTCGTTTGGATATGTGCCAGCCTCATTGGTGTGAGGTGATATCTCACTGTTGCTTCAGTTTGCATTTTCCTGATAATAAGGGATGCAGGCATTTTCTTCATATACCTAGTATCTAGCTGTATGATATCCATTGCCTATCTTTTTTGAGGAAGCTTCTGCTCATCTCTTCTCCCCCTTATTTTGGGGTTTTGTTTGTTTGTTTGTGTTTCTACTTTATTTAAACACTGTACTTAACTAAATTGTTCCCGATGCCTTTGTGATGGCATTTGATATTCCAACCCCAACACAACCACCACTGTCACCTTCCCTCCATTATCCCCATTTTCCCAACCACCCTCAAGCCTGTAGCAGGCCCAAAATAATTGGGCGACATCTTATTATCTCATTCTTGCTTTGGACAACTTGGCAGGTTACCAAAAGTATCCTGCCCACAGGGCAGAGTCTGGCAAACTCCCCGTGGCGTACCCAATATGCCAAATACCAGTAGCAATGATGGGTCTCATTCTCCTAACCCTGAAAGAGCCATGAATGTGGCACTTTTTAGAATCTCAGGGCTAGGACAAAGGAGACGTTACTAGTGCCTGCTCGAGGCAATCGATGAACAACAGGATGATCGTGATCATGATTATGATTGTTTATTACCACTAAATGGTTAATGTGATTATAAAACAAACATACTTCATTAAAAGAAAATTTGTGAAAATTGTTGCATTCACCACAGTGAGAGTTAAGTCCTCCGAGGGTTTGCTGAGCTGTTGCTGCTGGTTGAGCCTTCTGCGTTCATGTTTTTATTACATGAGCTTAGTTGGCGTCTACGTAGCAGCCCATGTAGTCTAGTGTGTGCCTGCTGGGAAGTCAGTATTGTGGGGTTTGGAGGTGTCTCATGACTGCAAATGTGGCTGCATGTTCCAGAAAATCCGGGATATTTAACTGGGCAAAGAGCGTATAGGGTGGTGGTGGGGGTGGGGGAGCATGGGGGTGGCTGTCAGGGGTGCTGGAAGTACAAGTGGCGGCAGGAGGTTGCCCACCCCACTCTAAGAAGTCTTGGAGTGTTCAACCAAAAAAACTGATGTACCTGAAACTCATCAGTTTGGCATCTCTGTGGAGCTCAGTCATGAGGCAGTAGAGTCTGGCCATCGGCATGGCGGCAGCTGTTGGAGTGTGAGTGCAGCTGCCGGGGCTTCTGCACAACGGGACTAGCCTGGCCCTGACCCCCGAGGTCACCCTGGAGGCCTCAGCCAGGGACCGTGTATCCGAGGAACTTTTGTGGCTAGTGGATCCCATTTGACTGCTCCACAATTTTTGATGGGGTTGATTTTTTTTATTGTTCAGTTTTGCTAGTGCTTTATATAGCTTTGATATTAGCGCTCTGTCAGATAAGTTGTAGGCAAATATTTTCTCTCAGTTTGTGAAGTGTCTTTTCATTCTGGTCATTAGTTGCTTTGTTTTGTTTTGTTTTGTTTTTTGCAGTACAGAAGCTTCTTCGTTTGATGTAGTCCCATTTGTTTATCTTGCATTTGCTTGGCCAGTGAGATTTAATCATTAACGATTCCACTAGATTTAATGTCATGACAGGGTCTATGTTTTCTTCAACATATTTTATAGATTCAGGTCTGATATCAAGGTCTTTAATACATTTTTAGTTGACTTTTGCACATGGTTCAAGAAATGGGTCTAGGTTTATTTTTTAAAAGGTGA